CTGTGTTCTCCCTGATGTTGGCATCCAGGATAGATGTTGTTCTTCAAAGACCATGTAAAGTACCGGTAAGTGCTTCTTGGATGCCGGTTCCATAATCCAACACTTTAATCAAAGTGTTCTCTGCATGGGGACTGACAGGAGACTCATGTGAACAATGAGATGGGAAACCTCCAACAGCCCATTACAACTGTAGCTTAAGGCTACAGCCATTTGTTTCAAATGTTTTGCTACCAAGGAATCAACCACAATAGTGATCAGATCCCTTCTAATTGCCTTTCACCAGTCTATCACTGGCAATTAAAGTCACAGCCAGGACAAAATGAAAAGTAGTACATGCCAACAAGAACAGAGCTCTAAAGAGGGCCTGCAACTTGGTGGAGTCCTTAAAAGACAGGTGGTGTCTTAAATACGGGACACTGCCAGATCCACTAAGTGGGCACAGCACTTTTTAACCTAGTCTTCTTTAAACGGGTACAGCACTAATAAACACCTAGGGGGAATAAAAAATCTTGTCTGGGTGTTTCCAGTCTCCATAAAGGAAGACTTGGAACAGCTGGTGCACTGGAAAGGTCTGGGTGGTCTTAGGAGCTCTAAAGGACCTCACACTAGGGACAGCACTGTTGGAAGCAATGGACTGATCCTCTAGTTTCAAAGTAGTACAAATCCTGTTAATAAGAGCCCAAAAGGTTTCTTCATTTGGGAGTGATGACAGAAGACTGGGACTTCTTAGAGGCAAGTTCACCTGGTAGGGACTGGAGAGACTTGGTATCAGAGTCTCAGCTGCTGATGGCTCTAAAGCTGGCCATACACCTTACAATTTATCTGCAGATGTTCTGTGGTCAGATGGAAAAGGTGCAACAGATTCCTCCATCTATGCTAAACTGTGTGGATGGAGTAATCTCCACCTGGGCCAATCTTTTGCACTTTTTCCATCTGACCACAGAAACTCTGCAGATAATTGTAAGGTGTACGGGCACCTTAAGGCAGCAGACAGATCTGTTGCAGAATCTGCAGGGGAAGGGGTGTTCATCAAACAACTGTGTGATTTTGGCAATGAATCATGCATGACTGAAGTAAAATGCTCTGTGAACAGAGAAAAGGAGGTGGCCACACCCGATAGTGGTTGGGAAAAAGAGAGATTAACACTAGAAGCACAGGGTTGAATGATTCCAAGCCGCAACAGTAGGCATGCTGCAAGCAGCACTGGAGCCATTGGTAGAGTGTGCGCAGGGGGCCTGGCATGGAGAGGTAGCTCAGGGTACGAGGCAAAGCCTCTGGTACTCATGTAACCCAACCACTGGCAGCAGGAATGGACCTAAGACTGAAGTTCCAAACGTTTTTTTGTAATGTAGAAGCAGCCGAAGATGCTTCATAGATGTTGAATGGCAAGAAAGAGCACGTAGCGCGCACGACTCTCAATCCACCGGATGACCTCAGTGCTCAATCCCTCAGCATTAAACCCTTACACAGTAGAGCTGGTGTTTAAGTGCACCCAGCAATTCAAGCATATAAGGTAGCTTCTGGTGCTTAGTAGTGATGAGCCGAACACCCCCGTGTTCGGTTCTAACTCGAACTTTCGAACATGGAAAAAGTTCTAACTCGAACTTAGCAAGTCTATGGGGGTAGCTTAGGCCAAACAGGCTGCTCTCAGAGGGCTTGTCCACACCACTTCCAGTGCATTCCAGGACGATTAGCTGCCGGAACGCACTGGATCATATCCTGGCTCGCTCCCTTCATTCTGGGGTGTGGCAGTGCATTCATGTCAATGGCACTGCAGCCAGGCGC